TCATGGAAGACTTTGAGGAGAAAGCCCTCCTTACTGCACCTGTTACACCAAGGATCTACAAGCGGTACGTAGACGATACTTTCACAATTTTACCATCAGACAAAGTAACTGCATTTTTAGAACATCTTAATTCCATAAACTCTAAAATTCAATTCACTATGGAGTTAGAGGCAAATAATTCCTTACCTTTCCTAGATGTGTTAGTCATCCGAAATCCTAACAACACCATTGGTCACACTGTGTATAGGAAAAAGACCCATACAAACTGATATTTAAACGGTGAATCTCACCACCATCCTTCACAGTTAGCTACCGTGGGCAAATCTTTGTTACAGAGAGCACGTGGAATCTGTGACAGCAAACACCTGGCCGCCGAGCTTCAGTACGTCAAGCAAGTTCTGCAATACAACAAGCTTCGGGTCCCGCGCCTACGTCACAGTGACCGAGTGAAGCCGGCCACAGTCGAGGGTGTGCCTGCTATACTACCATATGTCAGAGGTGTCACAGACAAGATTGGCTACATCTTGAAGCGAGCTTCTATTAGAACATTCCACAAGCCGCCGAAGAAGATTAGTCAGTTCCTACCATCACTCAAGTGTCATATTCCTCTACAAGAGCAGGAGTGTACAAGCTTGATTGTGAATGTGGTCTCTCTTATATAGGACAAACAAAAAGATCAATTAGAACCCGCGTAAAAGAACATATAGCTGATGTGAAGCATCAACGTTCCGGGAAGTCTGCAGTTTGCGATCATATCCTAGACAGCAAACCATTACATCAGATTTGATAGACCACAAATCCTCGCGAAAGAACACCGATTCCTACCAACGTGAGGCTATTGAAATTAAAAAACATCCTAATTTCAATAGAGAAGGAGGCTGGGTACTACCACCTGCTTGGGATCCTATAATCAATAAAATTAAAACTAAACCCAAGCATACCACTGCAAGACCTCAGGACATAGTCAGTTCATTTTGCATAGATCGGACCATAAACAATAATTAAAAAAGCTGAAGGTACTCCGGGTTTAACAATGACATCGGGACGTCAGTCATCTCAGTCCACCGTGACCATTATATATATATATATATATATATTATGGATCGTCTCGACCGGGGTACGATACTGCTCTCACAGAATACTAGAGTAATATAGCAGCTTAACGAGAATCGGAGACCCCTTTTACCGGAAACATCTCAGTCCTGAGTGGAAACGCATCTGTATTGTGATTCTTAATCGAGGATAAATGTAGATGTCTATGAGCCACAGCATCCACTTACCATCGGGTGGACTGTGTGCTCGTTTGTCATCCTTATTCATATATTCAACTTATAAGTGGCATACTTGCCATAGTTGCTACGCTTGCCTGTCTCGTTAGCATTCGCAGTTTTTTTTATGTTACATAGAACTTCTGGAAAATATTTGCTGACGTTAAAAACAGGCCTAAACATTTTAACAAGTCGAGTCTCATTGCAACGTAGGCCTTCCCCATAGATTTCCACAAAGTATGGTCTTGAGCTACCTACATCCATCGACTACCTGTGTGTCTAATCAAGTTGTTACTCCATCTAGATGGGTGTCGCCTAACACTAAGCTTTCCAGTACGAGACTGTCACTCGAGAAACTTTCTCCTCCATCAATTGTCGGCCCTTTGCTACTTCAGTTTATGTCATGTTCCATTAGCCTATGTCAGTTCCGCTTGTTTTTCTGTTCATATATTCGTTGCGGATTTTATCCTGCAGATAAATTCAACGAATCTTAAGCTGCCCCTAACAGTCCCAATATGAGAAACGAGGAATTTATTATTATTTTATATTACACTACCGAAAAAGCCAGTTTTCGAAAATGCTTTTGTACCATAGACCACATAGTACATACCCTTTGGCGAATTGTACATAAGACTGAGGAGTACAATCTACCACTTTGCCTTGCGTATATGGATTATGAGAAAGCTTTTGATTCCATCGAAATTTAGGTGATGTTTCAGTCCCTTCAGCGGTGCCAAGTTGACTATCGATAAAAGAAGTGCTGTTTATACAGAGCTACGGTGGCTATCCCAGTACAGAACCAGGGTGATGAGGTGATTGCGACCATGCTATTTCTGATTAGTTTTGTGTTGATTAATTGTGTACATGTGACATACATGATTGTGAGTTGTTTTTTTTAAGTCCCGCTGGGTTTCTTGCTGGTTCTTCTCAGGACAGAGGTTTTTTCCGAACCAATATTTTTTTTTCTTTTTTATTAAAGTTTTCTTTTTTATTTTTCTGTTTTCGTGGCAACTTTCAATAAGTATTATTTATAATCTCTATATATAAAATCAATTGCCGTCCGTTAGTGTCGAAAAAATCGAAAATGGCAGATGATTTTTTTGTGTATTTGAGTGGTTCCCTAAATAGTATTAAAACTAATTTGGACCCGGTAGGTAGCGCTGTTGTCGAGATTCAGAAATCACCCATGCAAACAGGGGTGAATATGAATAAAAAAGTTTCTGTTTCTGAAGTGTAAGACAGGATGACGTTATATAACCGAAACTCTTCACTGCTGCGTTGGAAGACGTTTTCAAGCTACTAGACAGGATACGGTATTAACATCAATGGCGAGTACATCACTGTTGGTTACGCGAGATAACATCTCTTTTACCGGAGGGTGATCCTTATTTGCTTCTGTGCGCAAAAAAAGGATGTTGAGAGTCGTGTAGAAATGAGTTTGTTAACCCACACAAGATTATTGTTGAAAAATAGTATTAAAAATATAAAATTTAATTGCTTAAAGTGATGAAAATGCATGTAATAAACGTTTTAGAAAGAATTCATAAAATAACAAGATAAGAAATATGTTAAAAGTGTTTAATTTCATTGATATAACAACGAAATATAACAGAATGGTATAAGAAAATTAAAGTCACTTTATTTGTAATTAAAAGTTTTAATTCGTAAATTAAAATGTTGTATTGTTTAAGACATGTGAAATTGGCATTGAGAATTGTATTAATAAAAAAATACGTCTTTATTTTACTTTATGTCAAATCTAATTGTGTTGTGATGTTGTTATGGGCAATAAAGATATGGGGGATAAATGGAAATGTGATAATGAAAATTATCGATTAGTTTGAATCAACATGGCACGCTGCGCGCGGTTTTCGTCACAGTAAAGCTTCCGGGGTAGGTTAGTAAGTCGCTCAATTTGCAGTTTGTGATATGTTGCGGTTAGTGGCGTCATTCCTCGCAGACAAGAAGTTCTACATCTGCGTAGAGGACGCCGTGTCCGCAACAAGATCTATCAGAGCCGGCGTTCTACAGGGCAACTGTTTGTCTCCAGTCCTGTACGCGGCTTATACCAACAACATCCCGACACTGGCAGGACAGCTGCGTGAGTGGGAGGACGACGTGGAGCTGGCGTTATACGCAGACGATAGCGCCTATTTCACCTCGTCCAGAAGAACCCACATCGCCACTGCCAGAATGCAGCGTCTGCTGGACCTGCTGCCACCATGGCGGGATGAGTGGAGGATGGTCGTCAACGTTGGTAAGATGACCACTCTGCTCGTTCACCGCCTAAGGAACCTACTACCACCTTTGACGCTCAGAGGCCAGAAGATGGCGTACGAGAAAGCCGTGACCTATCTTAGGTGCCGGATCAACAGGATGCTGCGCATGACCGCGCAAGTCGACTTCATCGTCGGCAAAGTCAAATGTGCGCGGGCGATGCTCCGTCCAGTCTTGGTTACTGATTAAGACAAAAACCAAAATATATAAGCTATATATAAGACCGCTAATTACCTACGCTGCACCGGCCTGGTACGCACTTCTGAGTGATCCACAGAGGCGGCGACTGCAGGCCCAGCAGAACCTAGCATTACGGACCATTGTCGAAACAGGTCGCTTCGTCCAGAACGACGTTATAGCGGCCAACCATTGAAGAGAAATCATTGAAGAGTTTGTGGTCCAACTGGCGCGCGGCATGTTCAACCGCGCTGACAACGGGCCACACCCACAACTAAACAACTTTGCGCCTCTACACCCACGGCCCCCGAACGGGCGACCTTATCCAAGAGAACTCTTCTCTATATAGATTAGAGAGTCGAGTAAAACCCACAATGCCGCAGAACGGCCAACTTCGACTATTGAAAACAGATAACTAACACATTTTTACAATTTAACCAACTACGGAAAAATTTTACCGACTACGGAAAATAACCGCTTTAATCTAACAATGCCTTTATAAGGCTCCCAAGACCAGCCCATATTAGTGTGCCGTGAGGATAATGCGGGCAATGGGGTATACCCCGAGGCTCGAGACCTGCAGGCCCCAAATAGCTTATGCAGAAGACATCGTAGTTGCAGTTCGTTCGGGACCAGCTACAGTTTTCAGTACTAAATCAAGAAAGAAAAAGAAATTAGGAAAAGTAAAGTGAAAGTTATAAAAGTAGTGAAAGTTTCAATATGGCATTTCCAAAGGAGAATTTACAAACAATTGATGTTTTATTGTCCTTCAGTTTTTCACCCTAATAATAGGGAATTAAGGCAAAATACAGCCCATATGTGTACGTACACATGACCGACGTTAAGACCGGGACCCTTCTTTAAGGACCCGTTATCTTAGTTGTCAACCTTTCTTTTGAGAGAAGGCAATGTTCTGAGTTGAACGTCTTACTCAAGGGTCACATCCACCGCGTTGTTTCCGAACCCAACGTGGTGTGATTTAGAATAGGAGGTAATTGATTGGTTGATCCCAGCTGTAGGGCATGAGACGAAGAACGTTGACGCTTGCTTTTCAATCACTCACCTTGGATTTGATATAATCCTTAGGGCAGAATCGCTGGAGGGCTACTGTGCTCAATGACCATAATAGTGTCTCCCAACGGATAGGTCTTAAGATGAACATGGGCAAAACAAAGATCATGTATAACGTCCGTCATAATGCCGGTAGTCGTACTATGGCGTGACTGTGACTTATACTATTGTTATATATCGGCTGTCAACATTTAATAATTCCGTGCTTTATGACGCTGAGTCCTCCTCAGTGACTGGATAAAGTAAAAATTATATTTCCGTTTGTTTTTTATTTAATACATCTAAACACAATTAATTGCGCGTTATAGGTAATCACGAACTTTAACTATGTTACCGAAGTTAGCATTAATGCAGCCCTAGTGGCGTGCGACGGTTTTGATTAAAGCCAGCCTAATTATAATTAACAAGGGCTGTCTAATAGTGAATATGTTAAGTCATTGATTTATTCCAATAAAGTAATTTCGTGGTACACTTAGTAACTAAAGGACCAATCATGCTTGTATTTAAAAGTACAGGGGCAGGTGTACCATATAATCAGTTTTGATTTCTTTTTTTCAACAAAGAAAAAGAAATAAAATAAGAAAATCGAGTGGTTAAAGCATTGAAAGTTTTTTAAGATTTGCTGAACTCTTGGTATTATTATGATTATAATAAGTAAAATTGAATTTTTAATGTCCTAGATTTATTTTAAATGGTTATTTGTTTAAATTATGAATTTAAAAGAAATAGTTAAACCTACTTTGAATATAATGGGTGCGTTTGGCAGAAAAAAGCGCTAGCAAGCGCTTATAAGCGCTGAAATAGTTTTCGGCCAGGACACGATTGCTACTTCGGTAGCGCTGACACATTCCGCCATTTTGCTTATTTAATTTGTTTGTTTTGAAGTAGAGTTTATAAGTTGTTTTGTGCAATATTAGTTTTAAGTAATATAATGACATGAATAAACATATACATGTTATTAAAAATTCATGATTGATAAGTTTTTAATATCAATACTTTACAAACATATATTTAAATTAGGTTAGGTTCCCCGGTTAAAACTAACATCGTGTCCTGGAGGAAAATAGCTACTTACGATTTGACAGCGCTTACCGCTTACGATCGCCATTTTGTTTACAAGCGCTTGCTAGCGCTTTTTTCTGCCAAACGCACCCAATGCAGCTCTGCGTATATCAGAAATTGTTAAATATATAGATTGTAAATATTTTTCAATGCTGCAACCATACGCTATTACTAAACTCAAAAATTTACTGCCGCTAGTATACAATGCTCCCTCACTCAAAAGCGCTTTCATTGAAATAACCTTTTGGAAATATTTAAAACGGAAAGTTTCACTCGACTTCGAGGTGGAAACGGCCTGGCGCTACCAACACGCTGTTAATCGGTTAGCGGGACGGGCCAATTTAATCCCGGAAGCTTCTAGTTAAGGGTAAGCGACGTCACGAGGAGACTGGCACGAGGAGGTATTTTGACATTAAATTAAAAAAATGTGAAAATAATTAAGCTTCTAAAATGTTATATATTTCGACAAAGCAATAAGTATTTATTTAATGTATTAAATTTTTTTAAGCAAATCATTTGATACAAGTATAATGAAGTAATTGAAATTAAGATGTTTTAGATACGCACGCATTTATGGATACCGTCACAGTTAACTATGGTAAATGTCATAGAATCTAATGGCCTCCGACAAATGGCGGTAGAACCCTACCTACCATAGCAGTTACTACTAATTTCTTCCTCAAAGGCTCATGCTTATCTTAAGTTTGAAGATACATACACAATTCTTCTAGCGAATTATCAATAATTTTATTTCTTTAAACAATTTAGGTATTTAGTTTGAATAGCTAATTTTAAAAGATTTCTCAGCCCGTTTAAATGTCTATAACTTAACATCATAAGAGTGGTTTTATTACTATCATATATACAACGTATATTTATATATCCAATATACATTTTTGCTTATTGCAGAAACTTAAAATTGTTTTTTACCATTGATTGGTGTCAAGAAAGTGTTATAAAAATAATGAATGCTTAATTGCAACCAACATTATTTTTTAGTATACTTATCAAATATAAACATCACCAGTACCATACTTGTATATTATAGACGTATAGTACATACATAAATACATAGCGATACGCACGTTACCTTAAAAGGGTAAGCAGAATCCAAAATCTACTCGGTCCATATTTTGCCATAAAATAAGTGATCGGTGGCCAGCCCATCGTTACTTTATCCTTTATCCTACACAATCCTAAACCTAATATGACGTTTTTGTTTTTGTTGGCTCCGTGGCGCAGTGGCTTAGCAATAAATTTCAATTCTGGCGGGTTCGAATCCCGCACGAAACAAGTATTTGTATGGCCTACAAATAATTGTTCCGGGTCTGAATGTTTATCCTTATGAAATTTATGTTTGTAAACTGCTTCCACGACACCGGAGAAAATCCTAGTGTGGAGGTAAACTTTTTTTAAATAATTTAAAAAAGCGGTCTAGGTGCGACCCGAAAGGTCCACACGACTAACTTCCCGGTGGAAAAAATAAAAAAAGATATGTTTTAATATTTTATACAATTTTTCATTCGGCACAAAAAATGACTTAACCGATTTTGCTCAAAATTTAAAGAGGTGTGAGTTAGATAATTATGCGTTAAATAAAATGTTCCCATGTCAATACCACTCTTTATTCTTGTTCTTCACTACATACATACGTACATGTGCACACACGGACATACTCTTAAAACACCATACTATTCGACTCTAAAGACCTTGAAACTTGGAGGTATGTTAAAATTTCCAATTTGCTAATTGGACCCATTACAATAACTTTTCACTTGGAAGTTAAAAAATGTCCTATTAGTTGCCATACACTATGTGCTAGGTAACTGCTGATGACGCATTATTTTACATGTTCCACATAAACATGGGATCGATAAATCCCAAACTAGCGTCAGGCAACATGATACGTACTATTAAAACAATATTAATATACAAATAACCACAATAAAATGTGGCATCAGCTGTTGCTTATATTGCGTTCGTACAAGTCATATAAGGGCAAGTTATATCAGCTACAATTATCTACAATTTTCTTTTAAATAAAAAAATTGATCAAACGGGTAAGAAATACCTTCTACTTAATAAGTAATACTAATTTATATTCTTTGGATATTTTTTTTTCAGTCCACGTCTAAAATAAAGCAGTCAATTCCACTTATATACGCCAAATATAATTTTAAAAGATTTTTCCGTACCTACTCACCATACGAGTACTAGGCAGGTTAGTGAGAGTCAGATATTGTTCAACAAATGCGTAACAATTATAAGTCTTTTTTTATTTTCTTTACTATTCATATTTCCATTTACTTACAAAATAAATAGATTTTTTTATATTGATAAGGCCCCTTTTTGGGTATATATCCTACTCCAGTTTATTTTATAATATAGAAATACCAAACTTAAACCGTACTCATAAATGTATTATTTAATATTAATTTAAGAAGAATAAATGTTGCATACAGTTCTTCTCCCTTATTTTAAATTATATTTGAAAGGATATTCAATTTTTTTTACAAAAACATAAACCAAAACTAAAAATATGTATAATAATATTGCGGTAGAATGCAACTCTATCAAAATAGTTAAAACTAAATCAATATTACATAATGATGAAATTAAAAAAAAAAACATTATAATCGATAAAAACTAATATAAACAGACACCTGATCTGTTAGTTTCTTACAAAACAAAATAATATTGTTTTAGGTGACATTTAATAAAAAATTACGTTAAAAATAGGAAAAATGTAAACAGGACTCACTATCGTTAGTATGCGCATTGCCGTCGGCTTTGTGATCTGTATCTTCGGCGCCAACTAAGTTCCTTATGCTAAACGAACTGGACTTCCTGGGAGGCGCTGGCACTTCAGCCGTTAACCCAGTCACCTCACATCCTTGTGTTCCATTCACTAGTTCACGACACACCGCCTCAGTCCCGTTCAAAGGTAAAACAGCCTCTCCTGGACTGCCTTCCTCACCGCGACGTGTGGTCAAGTCCATCTTTAAAACAAACTTCACATATACTTTTTAAATTACGAACAATGTTTCTATTCAGCCGTAACATTTTTTCATGCCACATCTGGATGCTTAATTAACCGCATATTATAAAACATTTTTATTTCAAGTCACTGAGATAGCTGGTCAGAATTAAAAAAAGTCTGCTAACTATCGGCTAACTGTGGAAAATTGCTAAAAAAATGTTTTTGGCCAGTACTTTCACAGCATAAAAAATCACTCGCGAAAATTTCAATATCGTGTACAAATTTCTTTTTTTTTTTTTACTAGCACTATGAGTCTTCAAAATAGTCTGAGATGCAAAAAGTACTGACAAAATAGTTCGTGAACTTGTGCAATTTTAAGTTTGCGATAATTCGCGACGTCGCACCACAACGCGTGCTAACTCCGCGTTGGTGAACGCGACTGGTCCTCTTACCTCCTCCGCGGTCGCGTTCGCGTGGACCTCCCTACGCCTCAAGAGGCGGAGCGAACGCCCCTCGCGTACGCACCAATTACCCACTGTGGAAACCGCGCGACTTTTTAGTTGTCAATTACACGATACGTGCGATTTTTTTCGTCCAATCGATTTGCTCTAATGAGCTGTAATTGCATTTATCGATACCTTATTACGGTTACCGTTTAGGTTTCCGTTAACTCGGCCGCAAAAGCAATTTTCTTTCGTTTATAAGTAAGGTGTTGCTTCTTTATTTTGAGAAAACTACAAATAAGTTTTGATTTATGCATTCATATTAACAACAAAAATAAAACACTAGCAAAGGCTAATAAACGGAGACGAGATGAAACTATTATGTTACAGGTATAAAAAATAAATACAATTTGTTTTATTATGCTAACTGACAATAATAGAGTGAGTGCCCATAGTCCATATAAATGATTAACAAATTAATTTGGATATTATGTTGCTAGTAACTAACATCGAATTGAAGTGCCCATAAACATGTTACTTTTAATTATTTCGTGAATTATGTCCTATTGTAATATCGCCAATCGCTAATTTAAGTTATTAATATAACTTTATAGTAATAACTACAAATTATCTTTTCATAATAAAACATTCAAACAGTTGAAACAGTAGACAGAAACAGGAAATGTTTGTGATTATTTACTTTTCATTTATCACAATTTAACTACACAAAATGAGATACCACAGACGCAAGACCTTTGTAATATTGGCAAAGACTTACTGTCTGCATAATAGGGTTGTTGTGATGCCTTAGAAAACATTTCCTTATATAATTCTTATTAAATTTGCTATAAGGAAAACCCGCTCTTGAAACTAAGTACATTAGAGTTAAACGCGTCATATCACTTAAAAGCGACGATATTAATCTAAGTCAACGTGTCAAGCCCAAAAAGATTTTACCATTAAATTCTAAGTTAAAAAAGTACAAAAGTATTTGGTATTCATTATTCATTTGTGTTTTTGTAGTGGTTAATTTAGAAATTATTGATTACTGTTTGTTCCGTGAGTTGACATGAACAAATATTTAAATGATTTTAAATAAAAAAATATCGTTAATGAAATCATTTTATAGCTTTTAAATTATTTGTAACTTGTTTTATTGAACTAATGTTGCCCGTCATAGATGTTAAATAGTTTTTCTGTCAGCTACTGTAACCTAACTACACAAATCCCTGTAAAATGTTGTACTACTGTACAAAATTTTAGAGGGATTTGTCTTTATATATATATATATATATATATATATATATATATATATATATATATATATATATATTATACTATTACATCATCAAAGACCAAGCCCCATATATAACACCAAAAAATGCCCGAAATATGTCATGGCATTCGTCAAGATGAGCCAATATCAGTCTTATCATTTTGAGGTTAAAAATATTCAGTGTTTGGTAGCGTTGTCAGATTTTTGAGGATTCTAGTACTAAAAAAGCGTTGTGTGGTTGCATAAGCCTCCGCAAAAAAGCACCTATTTCGAACCCCGCATCGCCCCGTGGGTGTCGCAAGAGGCAACAGAGGGAAACATATTGGGAGATGGGCAGCAGAGTCTTCCTAATAATGACTAAAAACAAAGAACTGTGATTGCCAACTTACTTACCAACTTGATTATCCCCCCTGTGAGACAATTATTTTCAGCAGTGGACTTTAATAGACTGTGTAATGGTAACGGTGTGGATGTGCAGATGAAACTTTTCACTCTTTAATAAGTGTAAAATTTCCGAGAAAATTTCCGACTTGCGATAGATACCAAACCCAAAGTATGACATGAGTGCGACATCAAAGGTGGCGAAACGTATGGTACTGCGGTCAGTAATCCGCGTGACAAGCAGGCAAATCCCTCTTACATGCGCTTGCCGGCCCATGTGTCCAATAAACAAAATTTTAACTGGACAAAGTTCTAAAACTTTATTAAACTAACTTTGTATAAAAAAGGTAATTATATTAAGGAATTTATGGACGATATTAACCCCTGGGAAGGGTGATCGCTACGAAGCTATTTATAATTTGTTTTGTGTTGTTAATTGTAACATACATGATTGTAAGCTGTTTTTTTTATAGGATAGAATGATAAACGAGCACACAGTCCACCTGATGGTAAGTGGTTGCTGTGGCCCATAAACATTTACATCTATCCTCGATAATGAAATGCAGATCCGTTGTCATCCGTGAGGGCTTAGGTGGAATGCCTCGTTTCCAGTAAAAAGGGTCTCCGGTTCTCTACACTCACCTACGAAACACAGCAAATTAAGCTATTATTTCACGCTGGTATTCTGTGAGAGCGAGGTCCTTCCCCGGTCGAACCGACCCATTCGTGCTTCAACTATACTACTAATATAACTGCAGCATGGCTCTACCACGTAATAATTTTTTTTTAAATTGTCCCGATTGAGAAGAGGTTTTTTTCCGAACCAGTGGTAAAACTAAAAAAGTAACTTTCAATAAGTATTGTTTATAATCTATATTGAATAAAAAAGTTTCTGTTTCTGTTTCATGTATAGTAAGCCTTTACGTGCTGATGACGATGATAAAAAGGAAATGCATATGTAAACCATACATAAATATGTTATTTCATAATTTCTAACATATTTTTGGACACTCATCTTATGTTATTATAATTAGGACCTGAATGCATAGAAAACACATATATTTAATCACACCACTATCGGATTGTAAAAAAACTAGTAGGAAAAGTAAGCAACATTCCCTTTGTAGTAAGTTAAGCGTAGCAACCATTCCGAACAAATTTCTCCCCCATTAGATTACCTACACCATAGGGTAGTAGGGTTGTAACAGTATAAGGGGCTTATCTGTCTAATAAAATTGCCTCAATTATTATATGAAACATAATGGCAGCCCTAAATAATTTAAATGCACTTGATGCTGTTTCCATATCTGTCCTCTAAGTAATAAATTCTAGTTAAGGCCAATCCGAATGCATTCGCTTAAGGCTACCGCTGAATTTATAGCATTGGTACTATTATTTCTTCATTTTCAAGATTATATTAAGAGAAATAATATTATTGTCGGTCAATTAACAAGTTTTCTTTGTAATAAGTTCAAAGAACTTTGAAGACAGTGTAAATGAATTAAATCGTGACATTATGTTCCATAATTATGTAATTCCTTTAGCAAACAAACAAACTAAGCTATATACTGGAGGAGTCGTTATTATTGATCGATCAATTTCATAATATGTTAATGTAAAATTTAAAAAAGTGAAAAATTTCAGTGCCATAGACTTCTATTCCATTCAGCTGTTACACCCAATTTTTTCCAGACGGAAAAAAATCACGTAGTATATAACATGTCATTTACTAGCATGATCATTGTATCTCGTTTGTGTCATATGAAGGAAATGGGATGCTGTGGCTAAATATCTGCATGTATTCTAGAATAAGAATACATGTAGATATACAGTTACAGCATATACATATATATATATATATATATATATATATATATATATATACCAGAATATGAATCTACGAATCAAAATGCAGATGCGTTGTCACCCCTGAGGAGTAAGGTGGAATACCTCGTTTCCAATAAAAGCTGCTGTTTTACGCAAATATTCTGTATGAGCGTGGTAGGTACTTTCCGGTCGAGCCGACCTCTCAACCGAAACTTAATATAGTTTCTCTGTAATCATAATATAGCTGCAGCGTGCATATTTTTAAAAAGTGCTAGTAAGAGATCAAATTAGTTTTGTGCGTGTATTAAGAAAGGCAAGAATGTATCCCCTCACTACAGTAAAAGAACAACACTACTTTTTTTTAATTTTCTTTATATGTTTTATGAAATCAAATTATCGCAGGTACGCTCATATAAAACAAAGCTTTGACTTTTTAAAGGAAAAATTTTAGAACGCACTGTAGGCAGGAATATCAATTTTACAAAAACACTTATATCTGTCTAGGTAATATGTATTTATTTACATCGGCGCAGCAATTAAAAGTGCTATAATTTATTCTGTGGCACTTTAGCAGCTTAGAATCGTGACAAGATAAAACAGTTTAAAATCATGCACACATTAGACAAGCTGTTATTTCCACCTACTTATAATTTGTTTAATGTATCGGATAATTTTAAAGTTACGTGAATAACAATAACTACATTTCTTAAATTTGTAGATGTTTGTCTCTGTTTCGTTTTATTTTACATATTTAGGCCAGGATAACAAAGATTAGGAGAGTCGTTTTATATATACTTATGATATAAAATGACTCTTTTTTTATAGGATAAAAGTAACAAAAGGACACACAGTTCACCTTATGGTGAGTGGTTTCTGTGGCTCATATACATACCTCTACATCTATCCTCGATTACCAATCAAAATGCCGCCGTGAGGACTAAGATGTAATGCCCCGTTTCCAGTAAAAAGGGTCTCCGGTTCTCTGCACTGACCGTACGAGACACAGCAGCGTTAAGCTACTATTTTACTCTGGTATTCTATGAGAGCGTGGTCCATTCCCGGTCAAGTCGACCTATTAGTGTACTATTAATA